TTCTTAATGCAGGTGGGGCTGTGTCTTCTTCTTTTTTTTTTTTGTCGGTCGTGGGGCTTGAACTCTGGGCCTTGGCGCTGTCCCTCAGCTCTTCAGCTCAAGGCAAGCGCTCTACCACTTGAGCTACAGCGCCACTTCCGGTTTTCTGGTGGTTTATTGGAGATAGGAGTCTCACAGTCTTTCCTGCCTGCCCGGGCTGGCTTTGAACCACGATCCTCAGATCTCAGCCTCCTGAGTAGCTAGGATTACAGGCGTGAGCCACCAGCGCCCGGCTTCATGCGGAAGGTTTTTATGCCAAAGGTATCCCCAGGAGGCTCCTGGGGAGTGCTAAGGCTAGGCGGTTAGACTGGACAGACGCACCATGGGCATTGAGGGTCCACTGGGAGTTGTCCTCAATCCTGTTGTCACTCAGTGACGTGGACCTTGACCTCCACAGGCCAATAGTGGACCCAGGGTTGTGCAGGCAGCAAAGGCAGTAGGATGCATCAGATTTTGGAGTAGGTAAGGGGCAGGTGCCTGCCACTGCAGAGTGAGTAGGAACGCTCGTCAGTAGTTGCATAGAGTTGTGGCATGGCTGCTTAGCCTCACATTTTGTAGGTAAGCCGTCTCAGCTCAGCAAGGGCCAAGGAGCCAAGAGGCATGGGGCATTATGGGAGAAGGAAGGGCTTCTAGGAACATCTGGAGATGGGAACATCTAGACCAGATGCCTGCTCCAGGGCATCCCAAAGGAGAGAAGGGGGCAGACTTGGCTGGAGGAGCAGCTAGGCTGGAAGCATTCAGACATACTTCTTGGATTCCCTCAGCACCTCCCATGCTGTGGAGAAAATCGCTGTGCCTGGCCAGACTATGGGCTAGAAACTAAGGAAGCAGAGTCCCCAGATACCCACAGGGCAAGACCCATGTGTCCCACCTGAGGACTCTGGTTGTTGTAGGATAGGATTGATGTCACCATGTGTCAAAGGAACCCAGTTCCTTATGAACTGGGTTCAGTTATGCCTGCATGGACAGGGATAGCACAGAAACTTCTAAATACATCAGTAAGGAAATAAGGGACTGGAGAATACTAGGGCTGATTAGTTCACAGGAAGCTCTAGGAGCTCCATCACAGGGCTGGAGTATTCCAAAGGAGCTTACCGCAGTATAGCAAGGGAGACAGTAGATCTGTGGAGATTGTGGGGTGACAGTCTGGTGGCATAAAACCCCAAGAACATGTACCTAGGAGGGCCGTGGTGGCAGTGAGGGAGGTCTGAGGTAGGAGCTTGAGAGAGGCCTGGTCCACACTACCTGAGGACCCACACGGCTGCCTGAGGAGCGCTGGCCATGCAGGTACACATGTATGGAATCCCAGGGAGGATGCAGATGTGTCTAGGAAGGAAAGGAGCACTTTCACATTTGTGTTTGAGTGAAACAGAGGCAGGTGGTCTGTGAATGGCTGAAAGTCAGCACATCTGTTCTGTGAAGTTTTCAATCCTAAAGTCAGGCATTTTTGATAGTGGGAGGTCTCCCGGTCCCCAGTGCTTCCCTTAAAATTAAGGCCTAGGGGAGCCTAGTTTGCCAACCAGCAGGTGTCTGTGTCTTTGTCCTGGCAGCACAGCAGCCTAGGAGGAACACGGAGCAGAACAATGTCGGGGGCAGACATTCGTTCCTGGAATGTGAGCTGCATGAGAAGGGGGTGGGACTGGCCTAGATGTAGAGCTGGTCCTGCCCCTCTACCATGGCTGCTGCACACAGGACTGGTCTAATGTAGAGCCACTGCTGCCCTTCCGCCACAGCTGCTGTGTACCGGACTCTTGTAACTTGTTGGAGGAGGTGGGCTGCTGGCTTGAACTTTCCTCTCACTGGGATAGAGAGATAGCTTTGCCTGTGTTTTAGTTTGATTCTTGTACAGAAGGTTTAATGAGCACACTAAAACTATGCATTGCAATTGTTGTGTCGTGGCTGGAGCTAGCTGACTTGTCCCTCTGTCTCCTGCAGGGCTTCATGTGTTCCCTACCTTTGTGATATATGAGCTGACTGTACTAGTGTTCCTCACTCTGTCAGTGGTGATCATGAAGGTATGACATTTTCTCCCTGTCACTTATGTCTGGTAAAACCGATGCCATGTTCAAGTTTTACACGTTACACAGGCCACTTCCCACTGGACCTTATATCTAGCAGTGCTGCTACGTGTCTTTAAGAGCCTGGGATTCACCCTGCTCACTGGTCTGCCTTCCAGGGAAGCCCTCTGCCAGCTGCCTGGACGGACCAGGGGGCAGACCTCAGCCTGGAATGGGTGTCAGGATGCATTATCCCTGTCTCAGGATTGGAGTGTGTTGAGGTTGGGAATTGCCAGCACCTGGGGGAGGGCACATTCTAGATTCTGACATGAGTCCTCTGGGTTTCTGGAATAGCTCACGCCTTCCTCTGACAGATGAGTGTTAATGAGCATGGAAACTGAGTGAGCATTTTCAGTGTCTGGTTCTCCCTGACCACAGACTACTGAATCTCCTTCTTGTCAGCATCACCAGCTAGCTTTCTGGATCCCAGATCTGATAATTGCTGCATAACCCCACCAGCAAGACAAGTACATCTCTCTCTTACCAAAAGAATTTCCATCTTGAACATTACTTAATATTTATTGCTATTTAGAGAAAGTTTGTTTTCTGTCAGTGAATCCAGACCTTTTATTTTGCCTTCTATGTAGATTTAACCTAGCCTGGATTTACTTCCTGCTTTCTGGGTATCTGAAGTAGCTCTGGATTGACTTTTTTTTCCCAGATAACACATTTTCTGTGTAGATTTTCTGTTCTGCTATGTTTAATTTAGTCTTATCTGGGTTTTATTCTTGACCACTTAATGTGATAGACCACTCTTGCAGTTTGTTTTGGCAGTTCTGGTCTTGTCACTGATCCTGCCAAAGAGCAGCCAGTACATCAAGTGGATCGTCTCTGCAGGGCTGGCCCAGGTCAGTGAGTTCTCTTTTGTCCTGGGAAGCCGAGCCCGAAGAGCAGGCATCATCTCCCGGGAGGTGAGTATCCGCCCTCTGACAGAGAAACTGGCTCTGGGGAGCATCCAGAGCAAAGACTAAACACTCCTCACCTCAGCTGCGAGGTAGCAGCTCTTTTGTGCTCTTGGTTTGTGTTCCTAGGCAGCGCCTTGCTGGCCTAGGATGGAAGCCGGTACCTTAAAAGATAATTTTTCAGGTGAGAGTTACTAGTTAATACTGTTAATACCTTGTACAATAGTGATAATTGAATGATATTTCCTGTGAAAGGAAGAAAACTCAACTTTTAGCTTGCGCAGTAATAACATCTAAGAAATCTAAACCAGGCCTCCCTAAAACTGCCATCAAAGCACTGGGAAGCACTTGAAAGCACTCAGAACTCAAATCACTGTCTCTCTTGTCTTGTGAGTGTGGGCATTTTGCTGTCAGAGTTCAGGAGAAGGCTTGTGAAAGAGATATGTGCAAAGCTGTGTTGTAGTCAGCGTTACAGTGAGCCCTATAGAGCTACCATCTAGTGAGTAGTCTCTAGGCTTTTGCTCTGTGGTTCATTAGAGCTGACCACAGCTTTCCATTTGCTGTCAGACTTTGGTTTATCCTACTCTACTTGTTTTCTTTCCTATGAGTGTACTTTTGACATGCCTTCAAAAGAGGGGTTCTAGGGCCGGGCACCGGTGGCTCACGCCTGTAATCCTAGATACTCAGGAGGCTGAGATCTGAGGATCGTGGCTCAAAGCCAGCCCGGGCAGGAAAGTCCGTGAGACTCTTATTTCCAATAAACCACTAGAAAACCGCAAGTGGAGCTGTGGCTTAAGTGGTAGAGCACTTGCCTTGAGCTGAAGAGCGCAGGGACAGCGCCCAAGCCCAGAGTTCAAGCCCCACGACTGACCAAAAAAAAAAGAAAGAGGGATTCTAGTTTACAGGTATACCTCCTAATAACCAGTGAGACCATGGATGACCCTCACACCTAGGCATACATGCCCTTAATGCTCAGCCTGTCCTAGGTAGGCCTACTTCCTCCCACCCAGTGAGGACTGCTGCACCTCTGCCTGAGCAGGTGTACCTCCTCCTGCTCACTGTGACAAGGCTCCAGTCATGTGTCTCAGGTGTACCTCCTTACACTAGGTGTGACCACACTTAGCCTCCTCTTCCTGCTCACTGTGACCAGGCGCTGTTTACATGTCGCAGGTATACCTCCTTATACTGAGTGTGACCACACTTAGCCTCCTACTTGCACCCGTGTTGTGGAGAGCTGCAATCACAAGATGTGTGCCAAGATCAGAAAGACGGTCAAGCCTCTGACAGGACAGGGAGACGGCTGCCTCCCAAGTGAGTCCTGACAGCCTCACCTCGCCTCCCAGGAGCCTTGCCTCTGAGATGGAGGAACACAACGAGGCTGTGTCCTTGTGTTTGCCTGCTTTTATAGAATACTTTTGTCATGTTTTAGAATATTACAGAGTAATTTATTTGCAGTCAATTGATTATATGCAGTAGAATTGTAACACTGCATTTTACAAATCGCCTTGACTATTTTGCCTGGATGTGCCTTTTTTTCTGAAATTATTAACTTTCTATTGTTAATTCATCAGTTCATAGTTTTTGGTAAAAGGCCTTTTTTATTTATTGTACAACTTAGAATTATAATCTGTTCATCTAATATTTGTTGTTAAACATACCTACAATAGGAGATTTTAATTTTGGCAATGAGTTGGAAGCTTACTTTGGATGCTCAAAGTTCATGTTTTTTAGGTCAGAAAACTATCTTACGATGTTTGTTTCCTATAGCTATTTTAAATAAAGCACTTTCATGTCTATTTCTATCAGGTATATTACTCAAAATATTTGATTTTTGAATGACAAGAAAATACAATCTTTAATAAAGACTACAATCGGTATATTTATTTGAAATTTATGAGAATCTGATTTGGTTTGGTTTGGTATGAAAAAAAGGCTATTGTAACTAATGCTGCAGTGAAAATTGGCATAAAATACCAAACATATAAATATATGTATGTGAATATGTTACATTGTTTATATTGTATTCCTGGAGTAAATCCCAAATAGTCATTGTCTAATGAAGGGTATGAATCTACCAATCCTGAAATCCAATGAAAAACATACAGCATAAACTCAGAGGTCTATACCAAGACACAAATAAAATTCAAAAGACAAAAGCAAAAATGGAATCTTGAAGTCACAGAGATGATTTGTCTCTTACCAGCAACACCTGATACGGACAGCTAGTTTCTTACAAGTGGCAGAAAACAATGGGATGGCAGACTTGAAGTTGTAGGGAAAACAAAGCAGCAAGACCTTGCTGATCAAGAATGTGTACGTGTGTGCGCATGTGTGCGCCAGTTCTGGTGCTCCAACTCAAGCTCTTGTACTCACTCAGATTTGTTTTACTCCCTACCACTTTTATGCCCTACCACTTGCACCATGCCTCTAGTTCTGGCTTTTTTAAGGTTAATTGGAGGTAAGAGTCTTTCAGATTTGCCTAGCCTGGTGTGTGTGTGTGCGCGCGCATGCACGCGTGCATGCGTACATGCGTGTGCACTCATGTGCATGCATGTATACACACATTGGTCCTAGGGCTTGAAATCTGGGCCTTGATTCTGTCTCTGAGTTTCTTTTACTCAAGGCTATTACCACTTGAACCACAGGTCCACCTTTTTTTTTTTTTTTGCTAGTTTAGTAGAGATTATAGAGTCTCATACACTGTCCTGCCTGGGCTGGCTTTGAACTGCAATCCTTAGATCTGTCACCTGAATAGCTAGGATTACAAGCGTGAGCCATTGGTGACCAGTTTGTCTAGACTATTTTTAAAGTGATCCTCAGATCTCAGCTTCTTAGTAGCTAGGATGGCAGCCAACTTGATCACAATTTTTGTTTTTTTGTATGTATACTAGTCCTGGGGCTTGAACTTAGGGTCTGGGTTCTGTCCCTGAACTTTTGTGCTTAACACTAGCACTCTACCCACTGCTGACTTTTATGGTAGTTAATTGGAGATTAGAATTTCACAACTCTCCCGCCCTGTTGGCTTTGAGTCATGATCCTCAATCTCAGCGTCCTAAGTAACTAGAATTATAGGTGTGAGCCACCAGTACTCAAGTTGATTACAAATTTTACGTCTGATAAAACTACTCTTCAAAAATAAGACAGACATAGCCAGGCACTGGTGGCTCACGCCTGTAATCCTAGCTACTCAGGAGGCTGAGATTTGGGGATCACAGTTCAAAGCCAGCCCAGGCAAGGAAAGTCCATGAGACTCTTATCTCCAATAAACCTCTAGAAAACTGGAATTTGCGCTGTAGCTCAAGCGTAGAGTGCTCGCTTTGAGCTGAAGAGCTGAGGATAGCGCCCAAGCCCAGAGTTCAAGCCCCACTACCAACCAAAAAAAAAAAAAAAAAGACAAGCCTGGCACTGGTGGCTTGTCTTATCCTAGCTTCTCAGGAGACTTGAGATCTGAGGATCATGGTTCAAGGCCAGCCCACGCATGAAAGTCTGTGAAACTCTTATCTTCAATCAGCCACCAGAAAGCTGGAAATGGAGCTGTGGCTTAAAGTGGTAGAGTGCTAACCTTGAGCAAAAGAACTCAGGGACAGAGCCCAGGCCCTGAGTTAAAGCCCCACAACCAACAACAAAATAAAAAGGCTGAGAGTGGTGGCAAATGCTGGATTCCCAGCTACACAGGAGGCAGACAAAAGAGGATCGTGGTCTAAGGTCAGCTCCAGATAAAGGCAAGACCCTATCTGAAAAGCAAACTATAGAGGGCAATCATGAAGCCCTGGGTTAAAACCCCTATACAATCAATAAGATGGTAGGACATTTCAAATTAAACAAATTGTAGTAGTTTGTTTCCACTAGATGTGCCCTAGAAGAAATGTTCAAGGCAGTCCTTCATGTTAAGATAGGACAGTAGATAATAGTTGCATAAAGAAATAGCCATTCCCAGGCTGGGATGGTGGCTCAGTGGTAGAGCGCTTGCCTTGCATGCCTGAGGCACCACATAAAAAGAAAAAAGCCGGAAGTGGCACTGTGGCTCAAGTGGTAGAGCGCTAGCTTTGAGCTGAAGAGCAGAGGGACAGCGCCGCGCCTAGGCCCAGAGTTCAGGCCCCACAACCGGACCCAGAAAAAACAACTAGCCATTCCCAAGAGATCAACATGTCAAGTATATGAACAAATAAAAAGGCCAAATGTATTGTTTATGGTTTATAACTAATTTTATATGAAAAAATGCATAAATGAATGTTGTAATTGGCAAAAATATATAAAAATGAAATGGACTAAACTCAATCAAAAAATATATATTGTCAGAATGATAAGTAGGTTTCATGTATATGCTACCTACAAAAGACACTTTAGATCTGTGGGCATATCAGCTAAAAGGGAAAGGATAGGAAAGCATGCAAATAGTCAATGAAAAAGAGCAGAAGTGGTTCTACTCATATCCAGCAGAATAGATATTAAGTAAGAGTGTCATAAAAGACAAGGACATTATAAAAAAAAAAAAAAGGTTGATTGTGGGGCTGGGAATGTGGCTCAGTGGTAGAGTGCTTGCCTAGCATGCATGAAGCTCCAGGTTTGATTCCTCAGTACCACATACACAGAAAAAGCCAGAAGTGGTGCTGTGGCTCAAGTGGTAGAGTGCTAGTCTTGAGCTGAAGAGCTCAGGAACAGCGCCCAGGCCCAGAGTTCAAGCTCCTGACTGACAAGAAAAGAAAAAAAAAAAAAAAGATTGTTAAGCGATCCAGTTAACCAGGCGCTTGTGGCTCACACTTGTAATCTTTAGCTACTCAGGAGGCTGAGATCTGTGGATGGCAGTTCAAAGCCAGCTGGGGCAGGAACATCCATGAGACTTTTACCTCCAATTAACCACTAGAAAACCGGAAGTGGCACTGTGGCTCAAGGGTAGAGTACTTGCCTTGAGCTGAAGAGCTCAGGGACAGCGCCCAGGCTCAGAGTTCAAGACCCACCACCAACCAAAAAGAAAAAAAAAAGTCCGGTTAACCAAGAACATATGTGTGTGTGTGCACAAACATCAGAGCTTCTAAATATAGCCACAAAGAGGGAGAGAAATATCTCCACAGTAATAAGAATTTTCAGTGCCTATTTTAGATATTGGATAGAACCAGGCATCAGATCAGAGCCCTGGACTTAACAAGCTGGTATAGAACGGTTCTCATAATGGCAGCAGAAGACACATTCTGAAGTTACAGAACAGAGTCACTAGAGCTGTCCTACACTCTGTGAGAAGACATACTAAAGAAACTTACTTGAGCTGGGTGCTGGTGTCTCATGACTATGATACTCAGGAGGCTGAGATCTGAGGATCGTGATTCAAAGCCAGCTGGGCAGGAAAGTTCAAGACCTTTATTTCCAATTAGCCACCAGAAGTAGTGCTGTGGTTCAAAGTGATAGAGAACTAGCATTGTGGGGAAAAGCTCAGGGACAGTGCCCAGGCCCTTAGTTTAAGCCCCACAACCGACAAAAAAAAAATTTGTAGTCAACTGCAGTGCTTCCTAGTTACCATCATCCCAGGAGCAGGTCATTCCACAGAAGAACTGTAAGCTTAAACCTGTAGCTAATCCATCTCCCAGACTTTTCCATGTTTTCTGGCCCCAATGCCTGTCTTGGTTTCTTCACTCACCATCATCAGAATGCCTTGTTGACCCTGCATCTCCCAATGAAGTGAATAGTGTGCTCTAAACAAAACACTTGCATGTTAAAGATGGCTGGCACCTGAGGCCACTCCATCTGGTCAGGAAATCTGACCTTGTTAACTATAGGTGGGAGGGTCAGCATGTGATCTTTACATTTCTGCTCCACTGAGGGTGGAGATGGAAGGGCATCAGCCATTTTAAGGCTCTATACACGAATTTTGACTTGGAAACAACCATTGCTAATTAGTTGGTAGTTTAAGAAGTTGGAACTTTACTTGAGAGGTAGGAGCAGGCATAATCATCATGAAAGTGGCTAATTGTAATGCATATGAAGTAGGTATCCTATAATAATATGTTGCATATTCAGAGTGAGGCCTTTAGTCTGTGCTCAAAGTCCTCCATGGATGTTAATTAACCTAGTGCTTCATGAAGCCACGATATTTGCGTTACCAATTGTCGCTCTCTTCCTGGACAGAATTGTGAGTAGTTGTGGAGGAGCTCTTCTAGTGTGCAGAATCCCAGGTTTTAGAGTACCAGAGCCTGGGTGGACTGGCAGGCCACTAGAGACTTCTGGATATATATACTCATATAGGGGACATACTACTCCCGCCTTTAGCCATCAGTGGCCCTGGCTGGCACTTGGGAGCTGTTGTGACCCTATACTCCCAGCAGCTGTGAGAAGTGACAGCAGCAGCAACAGCATCTGCGAATGTTGAAACTCCTGGATGGGTTTTAGATGCTGGGACTCCCAACTCCTACACCCATTCATGTTACAGCTGCTCGGCTCCTTGCCCCTAATAAGCAGCTGGTGTTCTACAGCCCCTAGGTCTACAATGGCTAGGACACTGGACTTCTAAGATTTGGCAGCTCCCGGGAACTCTTCGTTAAATGGGGTCCACAATTTTCGGTCTCCAGCCTATTCCACAGCCTTCTATCTTGTTTTCAAGCTAAGCTTTTTAGTGTCTCTCACCTTTCTTCTGTCCCTTGTCTTTGCTGCCTCTGTTCCCAGTTGTTCCTGGCCCAACCTCCTCCATCAGCCTCCTCACTGCTGTTTGTGTTCTACTTCCACTTTCCTCTTAGTTACCAGTTCACACTGCCCTACTAATCATAAGGAAAAGTTGGGCTGGGGGCAAAGTCCAAGTGATAAGATGCTTGCTTAGCATGTGTAAGGTCCTAGGTTCAATATTTGGTGCTTCAAGAAAAAGAGCAAAGCAAAGGAAAAAGAAAGTAGATCAAAAGGAGGCAAGAGCTGGGTACCGGTAGCTTATA